AAACAAAAAAGTCCGTTGATTTCGGATATTTCTGGTTTTTTCGATGTCATTATCATCGAAGTGCAATAAAACTGCAATTGAGCTGCTATGAAAATGTACTACTAATTCAATGTGTAAAATGAATTTTCGGTTTGGTAGTGATATCTTTTGTAGAAATCATTGGAAATGCACTCCCGCTGCGCTTTCTTTGTATTGGTTGTGGTGGCAGTAAACATTTTGCTCAACCATTTACGAAATCCCACTCTCAGCATGTTCGGAAAATGCTTCACTCACGCTCCAAATTCACTTACATTTTATTTTTAGTGCCACGACGCTTTTAACGGGTTTCACATTCCAAGTTTTAAAATTTTTTCCCACATAACTCACTCATCAATAATAATAAGAACAATAATAATAATAATAATAACGCACACACTCATAGCCTCGCACTAGGGAAACCCTATATCGCGGGTGCCATGGATGCACACATATGTAGACAACCACAAATTATACCCAAACTTACGAGAGAAATAAATGTAGGCCATACAAATATAATCTCCTCTGTGTGGCAGTCCAGCATGGCAACTGTTCGGCCATGGAGACAGTTGCTAATAATAATACGTGGCCTATTTAACTATAAATGATCGTCAAACAGATGAGCAAAATGTTTACATTATTGATCTTGCGTAGTTTAGACACACAAACTGTCTGACATTAACCCAAAACTTAAGCAGTCTAACACCAAGGGTCTCTACATTATAATAACAACTTGATTAACGCACTTCTAACCGAATTAATATGTTCGTTTACGTCGACTTCATCTACTAAAATTCAATAGTTGCATCATGTTGAAACTACGAAAGGCGTAAATAAACCCGCGTTGAATTAGATCATAACTGAACGCCGTATGATTGAACAACTCAGGTTTTTTGGTTTATCAATATGTTTATTTTTATATTAAAATCCGTGGTAGCCTTATGGTCACTCAAGCAGAGGCCGTGTGTTTGAATCCGGCCTCGCACCTCTGTGGTTTTGAGAATTTATGTGCGAAATTTAATTTCAAATTTACCTCGAGCTATTCGACGAAAAAAAGCATCGTGATGAAACCTGCACGTTTAAGATGTATTATGTGTCTATCATATATTAAAAAAAAAAGGTTCACAATCCTCGGAAAGCGGACTATAGCCTAAACCGTCGCCTGAGCCCCGTACCTGCGTAAGTGGGACGTATAAATGGGTTGATGTTGTTGTTGTTGTCATTTATATTATGGCGTTAACTTAAAATAAACAGAACAAAATCATATATTATATAAATCGTAATTAACAATTGCGATTAGAGGTTATGAAAGACTTTAATCTACTTTAGTTATCATTGAGGTTATGTAGATATATATTGTTTCTAAAACAAATCTCCTACCGAAAATACTTAAAAGAAGTTACTGTATACTGAGTACACTGTTATTGAAACATATCTATTTCGCACAATCACATACACGTTTGTCTCCGTCACACCACTGTTTCTGTACAACACTATTTATCTGAGTGTGTTCAAATATAACTGAAGCAATCAAATAAGTGATTATAAACAAGGTTCTCCGGAGTCGGCAACGCATGGGTGATGCCTCTGGTATTGCTCGTGTCCATGGGCGACAATGACCACCTCCCATCAAGTGGCTTGTCTGCTTGTTTGCCTACTAGTTAACATAAAAAAATAAATAAAAATAAAGTACTAGTTTCAGAAAAACTATGAAAGCTGAAATAGCTGAAAGAATTAATGTGCAATCTGTTATTTATTTGCGATGCTTTTTTCAAACGCTTATTGCTCATTCAACTTATTTTTTGCGGGTAGACCAGGGGGGACAGCTGGTAGGGACTAGTGGAATAGGCCATTGTAAAAATTTTTATTTTTACAATGGCCGGTTGTTATGTTTAACGATTTCCACATTGAAATGGAAATTCAGAACTGAGCTCTACTCTTGTTTTATGTAAACTGCCTCTGTGGCGTAGAGGTCTCAGGTTGCATAGTTTATTTTATACGTTTCGATGATATAGTCCATATCTAGATAACAAAAACGAAAGTATTAAATGAAAGGTATACTGAACATTATTCCACAATACTCTTTACTTCTCACAATGTTCATTCCGCCCGCCCCCTTTTACCATCGTAAATTCAAACGTACGGCGGGATATTATACCTATATCCCGCCGTACGTCAGCATTCCCTTCAGGTGTACCAAGCGCTTTTCTTCATTTTTGCGCACAGCCCAGGAGTGGATTCCTTGCCTGCGACTGTGATTCCAAGCGCATGCAACCTGAGTAACTTTAAGTTAGGACTGAATAGGCGACTTCTAGGCAAACTCGTTCCATCGTAGTCCTTACTTTTCTACTAGGTAGCGGTCAAGAGAAAGTCCATTTACATAAAAAAAAACCAACTAACTACATATAGTATTCCGTAACCTCCATTTGCATCGAACGCATCGAGGAAATAACAAAAACGCGGATGTTCAAAATTTACCCTCCGCTAGAAACGGATGACTAACATACAAGTTTACGATTATATGACATAGAAATATAAAAATTCCGCGGACATGGAAAATGACACGGCATTGTAACGAGCGAAATCATTTGTCAATACCGGCGAGATTTAGTGTCCTCTTTATAACCCGTCGTCTCCACAACGACTAGGAAGGATGGCGGTACGACTCGTAATAACCTGAATAACCTGAGACTTTATACACGTCTTCGTCCCGCCCTCGCACATATAACGAACTATTCAAAAGGAAATGACACCTCGGATTTTATGAAAGCGCCATATTTTCGTCGCCACAAATGGTTCGGGGTTGCAATTTACATTGTAAATATTTAAGTTACTTCAAAGGAACCTGAGGCCATTAATGACGGCTTGATCGATCGATATCTATTCCACATTCGCAATTACGATACAATCATTATGCTTAAAATGTCAGCAGTTTCAACCGTATGAAAAGACCGGAGGAGACGAAAAAGGGATATTTTCATTAGAAACCCTGAGTAGGAATTAACCAAAAATTGACCGCATTTAAATATTGATAAGGCTTTTCGTTTTTGTGCATCAATAAAAGGAACTGTCAGTGGGAGTGACCTCTGTAACATCAAAAGGGCTTTGCCCATTGTTTTACGACATTTAATCCAGTGGCTCCTTTCCCCCTCATCTCTCGCTTGTATTTTCATGAAATGAAATAAAGTTTTTTTTTTAACTGTAAGCATATAGAAACATATTTAAGCTTTTGAAAATAAACGTTTTTACTACCCTACGAAGTTAGGTTGCCATGGCAGGTTACTTAATTATTCCATCATTAATACGCGGAAAGAGCGTGAGATGCAAGTTGGCTGAGATATTCAAACGAAATAACGTAACGTGGCGAGTCTCACAGAGCAGCGAGTATATAATTTTTGAGCGGTGCAACAACGACGCCGCTTTGTAGTTGTCAGCAAGTTGTTGAATTAAATTTAATACAGTCTAAAAGTAAATAATGTATGGTACAATCCAACCGTAGAACATTATGGCGCTTTCAGACTGCATTATACATGCGTAAAAGCATCGCATAAAAATGATAATGCATTAGACATGACTTTCAGTCTCAAAAAAGGCATAAATAATATAAATGTACCTATTGAAAATGATGAATGCAATCATTTTTTTTTACTAAATATTAATATTCAAACTTTTATATTTAGTTTTATCAATGTGGAGATTATATTTCGTTCTAGGTGTGACGAAATAATACAAATTAAATAGGGGTAAAAGTCTACAAAAAAAACGAAAGATGTTTCAGTAGGTGAAAAGAAAGGTTGACTGAAAAAAGGGGGCAACACAATTTATTTTTATACGTTAGCCGACCCTTCTATGTCGAAAAGAAGAAGTTCAAACCGTGAAGATTTATGATTTCTCCGAAAGGTTTTTTGGCACAAGGTTTTCCCTGCCTGTGTTTACCGCGCTAATTGCTGTTTATTTCAATCTACGTGTAGGGCGTTTGTTTGTTTTTACGCAATAGATATTTATAAATTTCGACAATCTTGCAAGAAGATGTTTTTAATTAATTTGTAATGTCCTTTTTTATATTTAAAGGA